AGGCGGGCGCTACCACACCTGGCTAATTAATTTTTTTTTTTTTAAATTGTAGAGATGAGGTCTGGCCAAGTTGTCCAGGCTGTTCTCGAACCTGTGGGCTCAGGCAATCCCTTCACCTTGGCCTCTCAAAGTGCTGGGATTACAGGCTTGAACCACTGCACCCGGCCTTCACTCAGTTTAATGTTTGAGAAGTGTTGATCTATAGCACACCAGAGAACAGTGCTCTAAAAACAATTAGTGCCGAATAAATACTGGGAATTATTGAGGGACGCCTCCTGAGGTCAGAGACCAGGTCTGTCTTGTTCATTCCTTCAACCCCAGTTGGGCAGGACCTGACACTCAGCTGTACTCAAGAAGCATTTGTTGAGTGGGCGGATGAGTGGATCAGTTCCTCTCTGCAATCCTGGGTTGGTTGCCCCAGGCCACGAGTCCCAACCTTTAGCCACAACCCATGGGTGAGCCTTCCCCAGAGATAAGGCTGTGCTGGGAGACCTCAAATCCGCAGGCAGGGCTGTCCTATCCCCTCACCTTGGTCACTCGACATGAGTCCTCCAGCTGAGTAATGATGGTCTGCACGCGGTCATTCCCTGCCACCAGCATGGAGATACAGTTACTCAGTTCAGTCTAGATGGGGTCAGGAGAGGAGAGACAGAAATAGCCTTGGGACCAGCCCACTCGGACATGGCACCAACACGGCCCCCTCCATCCCCTCTCTGCCAGAAAGAGCCTCCAGTAGGGGTATAGCCCCTCTTTCTGGGGTGCTGCTCAGCTCAGAGCAGAGGATTAGAGAGATACTGCCTCCCTTATTTTACAGATGAGGCCGAGAGTGGGGAAGTGAGCTGTCCAAAACACACAGCCAGGTCCTGGCAGAGGAGGGCTTGTTTCTAAGAAAGAAGAGATGAAGAAAAGAAAGAGAGTTGGAGAGAACTAGAAGAGAAACACCAAGAGAAGAGTGGAGAAGAAAGTATGGAAGGGAGGCTACGGCTTGCTGATGGGCAGGGTTGTGTGGTTCCAATGGACAGGGGACCCAGGGAGAGGGCTCTAGGCTGCTTCCTGCCACAGGGGACTCGGAAGTCTGGGAGAGGTGAGAGGCGCAGGAAGAAGTATCCAGGTCCAAAGTATGCCAGGATGGAGAAACCATGGCCTGAGAGGGCCCTGATGACCTGGCCCTGGGGTCTGACCACTCCCTTGTGGCCCCACCCAGGTGCTCTCAAGTGGCTCTAAGTTTAACCCATGAGCTCAGCCACCTCCCCCAGGAAGGGCTGCTGTCCCTGTGGCCTGGGAAGTCCCTCTAGAGGGACTATTCCTGAAAGGCCGGCTCAGCAAATCTACAAGGATCAAATCTGTCTCCTGAATCATCGGTGTGCCCAGCAGGCCCGGGCTGTGGGTAGAAGTGGCTGGAGCCAGTACCTTTTGTCCCTGGAAGACACTCTGCAGCGGAGCCACCTCGCAGGCCTTGTGGGCTCCAAATACCTTGCACATGGAGCATGTGGGCACCTCGCACGTGAGGCAGTAAATGTTGATTTTCTCGTCTTCGTGCTCCTTGCACATGGGGTGGTTGCCCTTCTGCAGGGGCCGACTGAAGTCAAGAACAGACACAAGTCACAGGGGGTCCTGAGTCCCTGTCTCCTCCCCAGTTCCAGTCACAGAAGTCCACCCCAGATTTATACCCTGAGCCCTCAGTGGTTGGCTGCCCCCAAACCTTTTCTGTTCATCCTCTAGGGACCAAGGACCAGGGAAGCCAGTGATACCAAATCTGTCCCCACATCCTAGAGCTGAAACTCCAGTGATGGAGTTAGCCTGAGGCTCTGCCAGCACAGAGGACATGGGAAGGGTCATAGAATTCCAGAGACATTTTATTTTTTGAGTTGGAGTCTCACTCTGTCGCCCAGGCTGGAGTGCCGTGGCACACTCACGGTCACCCCAGTGTCAACCTGTTTGACTCTGGCGATCCTGCCTCAGCCTTCCAAGTAGATGGAACTACAGGCATGCACTACCACACCTGGGTATTTATTTATTTATTTATTTATTTACTGTAGAGACGAGTTCTCGCCAAGTTGTCCCGTCTGGTCTTGAATCTGCAAATCTCAGGCAATCCACTCGCCTCGGCCTCCCAAGTGCTGGGATTACAGGCTGAGTCACTGAGCCCAACTCCCCAGAGACATTTTAGAGAAGAGGAAACTGAGCCCCAGAAGAGTGCAATGACTTGCCCAAGGTCACCCAGCAAGTCAGGGCAGGGGAAGCAAGTTCACTTGCTCTAATTATAGTCACCATAATTCTTGGTTACTGCAGGCTGGTCTCTGAGCTAAGCACTTTATTCTGATGGCCTCATTTACTTCTATATTTAATCCACCAGACTGTAACCTCCATCAAGGCGGGGAAACTTGCCTGCCTTCTTCACCCCTGAACCTACAGTGTACAGTGCCTGGTGTAGAGAAGGTGGTAATTTAATACAAGTAGAAAGGATAAATCAATAACTAGCATAGCAGTTAGGAATGCTCGCCATGGAGTCAGTCTCTCTCTCTCTCTCTCTCTCTCTCTCTCAGCTTCATCACTTGCTAGCTTTACAAAACCCTGACCGTCTCTGAACCATGAGAATGCCCTCAAGGCTTAGAGAAGGAAGAGTGTGTAGTGACACAAATGATGGAAAGGTAGCGCAAGCCTGAATTCCTTGTACGGAGATTTCTCCCAGGGTCCCATTCTCACCCTTCTTTTTCTTCCCTCATATGTGTTCTGAAAATACCTCTCTCCCTGTATCTCTTTCTCTACTCAGAGCCTCTCGCATGTCATTTATGCTTTTCTTGGGACATCAGGCATTTCCTAACCTAGATTTAGTTAGTTTTTTTTTTTTTTAAGAAACAGAGTCTTAGCCAGGTTCGGTGGCTCAGCCTGTAATCCCGCGCTTTGGAAGGCTGGGGTGAGTGGATTG